GGCACTGGGAAAGGTCGGTTGGAGAGGGAAAGGGAAGGACAACAACGATGTCTCTAGAGTAAGGTGACCAGATGTCCCGCTTTTGGCGGACAGTCCCGATCTTTAACAATTTTTCCCGTGTACCGTGGCATTTTTAAAAAGTCCCGATTTTTGGAAAAAATGCACGACAAGATAGGATAGATGGTTTTCGGCTGCCATGTGGCTATTTCGCCAGGATAGATGTTTTATCAATGGTGTCCTGCTTTTGCCCGGCTTGACCAATGTCAAAATCTGGTCACCTTACTCCAGCCCACTGCTTGTGGACATGCGGGTGCAGGGCTGCCGGCTGCTCTGGGAGAGGCAGCAGCATGGTCAGGGGCCCTGCTGCCGCAGTGCGATGAGCCACAGGGACGTCAACTTCACACAAGCCACACAAAGTAAAGTTCAACGAACTCTTCTTGGGTATATTGGGAATAAGTAAGAGATCAAGTGATCAAATGTTATAGGAGATTTAGTTTTAACACATTGCCGAACTCTCTGTACCAGTCACACCCCCAAATAATTTCTGTGGCGGTTACATAATCTGTTGTCAATTTAAGACTATTAAGTGTGAAGGGGTGGAGTCTGGCCTGTCAATCAGGTTGCAGCTTGATGACCTCATTTGAAGGTGCTATGAAGATACACAGCTCACTGGAGGCCAGATGTCTACTCTCTCTGCTTCGTCTTCCTGCTGAAAGCCACTGGGAGCTACACTGATGGAGCCAGGGCCCTGGAGCTGGAGGAGCCACATGGAGACCCACGGCAGTGCTGAGATGCTGCCACCACCACTGGATCCATGAGACTTTCCATCACAGGCCTGTGATCTTCCTGCATTCAGCATCATCGGATGGCTGCGTGACTCTAAAGAGGAATTTATGGATAGTATTGACATATGGGGCAATATTGGACTTAAGGACTTGATCTGGACTGGGCTGGGATGTTTTCTTAATATATAATTGCTCTTTGATATCAAGTTCTTTCTTACACACATACGAGTGTCTCTGGATTTGTTTCTCTAGTCAACTCAGGCTAACACAGTTACCCCGCCAAGGATTTAATGTCTGGATTTAGGAGAGCAAAATTCTAATAATCATGCCAATAAATGCATTCCCTGATACCAACTTATTTACTAGATTACAGAATTACCCCAGTCTCACATTATCCCAAGTCTTACACATTATCAACAGATATAATTATTCAAGAAAATAGGAGGGCAGCAATAAAAAAAACCCAAACCTATCGCTGTCACGTCAGTTTTAACTCATGGCAACCCTACATAGGATTTCTGAGACTATAAGTCTCCATGGGACCAGGCAGCATCATCCTTCTCCTGTGGAGCAGCTGCTGAGTTTGAACCCCAAACCTTGATGTTAGCAATCCAACGCTCACCCAATAGCACTAGAGGACTCCTTGTTATACAAGCAGGCTTGAATCTTTTTGTGTGCTGACAAAAATTCCATGCCAATGCAAATTTCCTGTGAACTTTTTAAATCCCTCTCCTATTTCTTTTTCATAAATAAAGGAAAAATTCCATTTCTTCCCCTCATGTCAGCTGGAGTTGTTTTGTTTTGTTTTGTTTTTTTAAATAAAATATTTATCTAGTTAAATCATAGTAGGGCACTGACGTTTATTTACTAATTCGGTAGCAGTAAACGGACACAGAAAGATCTGGAGGGCTAGATCATTATCCCCCACAATTTCCGAATGCTTTCTTATAAAAAAAGAGTAAATCATTTCACCAACTTCTGGCATATTTATGGTGAAAGAATTCTTACGATAGCAACGAAAACAAGTATATTCGCAGGGATTCAAAACAATGAGGCCTTAATCAGTGTTTCCCACAATGGATTAATAAGTCTAAATTATATGATGCCACTGGGAGATTTTTACTCTATACTAATGGATTTAGAACTTAATTAATTTCCCTAAGTTGTTTAACAATGCCACACCAACACTGTTTTGACTCATCTTTTTAAGTATCTTCTTTTTTTTAAAATTTCAAACAGCATGTCCATGCACATACACGTTTAATGGACAGAACAGACAGAATGAGGATTTAAAAGCCTGGGACATCATTGTGAATGGTATTTAGGTGGCTAGTTGGGACATCACTGTGAATGGTATTTGGGTGGCTAGTTGGACCTAGCTCATCTGAGCAAGGTCTGACTGGCTGACCTCTGCCCACAGCTGCCCTCCGTGCTCCCTCCGGCGAGAGTCAAACAGCCAAGTGGGGCAGCCGGCCAGCCAGCAGCAGGGCAGAATGTGCGTGGCCACGGCGGGCCAGACTGGTACGAGCTGCTTCCTTCTCTCAAGGTGCACAGACCCGCACACCTCCTGAGCCGGGACCCACTACCCTGGTGGGAGCTCCTTTCTATGTGAGAAAGAGGATTTCTTCCTGCGTTGGTGAACAGGAACGGGGAGGGGCCGCTTTGGACAAATCTGAGGGTCTGCTAGTGGAACCGAACCTGCACAACATGAAATCCATAGGACAGACAAGAAAACTGGAATTGAAATTAAAGCCAGCAATACATAAAGAAAAGAAAAATAATGATAGAGCACTTATGAAAATAATATGCAGCAGAGAAAGCATTATGCAGAAATGTGCAAGTTATAGCATGGTACATTCCGGGAATGTGTGATAGTGGGGAAATGTCCCATTAAACCAGAGTTAACTCACTGCCGCGGAGTTGCCCTGGTTTCAGAGAGACCCTGAAGGACACTGGAACTGCCCGTGCGGGTTTGTTTCCAAAAACTGTACATTTTTACAGAGTAGAAAGCTTCATCTTTCTCCCACGGAGCGCGTGGTGGTTTTGAACTGCTGACCTGGCAGTTAGCAGCCTGAGCATAATCCACTTTGCCACAAGGGCTCCTTATACCAGAGTTAGAAATGGCAAAGATATCTTTATTCCTCCTTTTTATGACTCCTAACAACTACTGGAGGGGGATGCAATTAAAGAATACACGTACCTAAAACAATCTGTGGAAACTTAGATGTGAAAATAATCATTTCATCAGACAGTCTAATGAAAGTTTTCTGTAAAGTGTGTACTATAGAACTGCCAGGTGGCATTGAACAGCAAGCTTGAGAAGACCCTAACAGCGTGGGTCCTCACACTCCAAACAGTTACTACGTCATTTGACTTGTCAGTCACCTCAACAGATATGCACTGAGGGGCCACTAGGTTCAGGGCATGATAAAACATCTATTATTTCAGGAATGACCCCCCCACCCCAGTCAAAGGAATGAATGCTAAAGAACATACGCCACATGAAAAAAATGGAAGCGCATGTAATTCCAAGTCATTACACACAAGTAATGAACAAATTAACATTTTCAATTAGAGTTTAAAAAAACCACCACAACAAAAAGCTTATAATTTCAGCAAGTATGACAAATATAGTAGCAGGATAGAATTATATGTGATTTTCTAGAGAAGCTACTTCTGATGTAGTATAGAAAGTAATAAAACTCATACTACAAAAAACCCCGAATAGCTGAAAGCGGACATTTGTTTCTTTTCCAAAATTAGTGTCTCCCTACTGTGTTTCCAGAAAACACTCCAGCAAATAAAAGTCTTCTCAAATGCTTGCTTATAAATTTTCATTGTAAACAATTATTTGTAACAATAATAAAAGTAAACTGTTCCTACTACAGTATTCTCTTTCCTTTATTGAAGAAATATTTGAGCCTCTATCTGCCAAGCATCTGAGCCCCTATCATCTACCAAGTTATAAGACCACAAAATGTTTTCTTTCTGTACATATCTCAGTTCAATGAATCAGCACCAACTAGACAGAAGCAATTAAGAACAACAAATTTACCACCAACTGTCCCAGTGCTTGGGGCAAAGCATGGGCAAGACACTACAATTTCTGCCTGCAGGAAGCTTACATTCTAGGTCAGATACATTGTAAGCAAGAAATTATGTGAAAGTGTGTGCATTCCATGGCTCTATTTCCATTCCAATAATAACTATTACCCTTTGGTTCAATGAGAGCAGATATTTAAATACGATTAAAATGTGATAAAAGTCTGCTGATCTTTCAGATAAGCTGCCCGCCTTGACCGGGCTGTGTTTAAAGCAGTGGATCTTTTTAAAAAGGGTGGCCATGATATATACCAGGGGTAACCAAACTTCTTGTGTAATGGGCCAGCTCTCTGGATTTGAAACTTTTAGACGATCTATTGGGCCAGTAAACAACATCATGACAAATAGTGAAAAAAAACTAAGCCATTTGCGATATCATCATAGTTGGATCCACAATCAATGCCCACGAAAGCAGCAGCCAAGAACTCCATGTACAAACCCACTGCAAAGAGACCTCTCTAAGAATCTTCAAAAGCAATGATGTCTACGGTCCACTGGACCTGAGCCATGATATTTTCAATCACCTTGGCAATGAAAAAGAAAAAATTGGTGCATCTCAATTAGAATACTCAATATACCTCCTAAAGAACAAAAAAATCAGCCTCGTTAGAAATTCTGCCAGAATAGACCTTAGAAACGAGAATGGTGAGGCGTTGCCTTCCTTTAGACACATCACTAGGAAAGACCAGGACATGGAAAGCACGTCATGTTTGGCAAAGGGGGGGAGACAGCATCAATGACGGCCCAACTATGGATGCGGAGATCACCATGAAGACGGGCCGGGACCGCGCAATGCTCTGACCTCTCAAGCATACGATACCTAGGAGTTGAAGGTACAAAGCATTCCTAGCTCACAGGTGGTACCATCAACACGTTCGTTTCTTTCTTATTCATTTTCCAGAGCGAATGAAAGGCTCTTTTCTCGCGCTCTGATAGTTCCAACTACAGCTGCAGCCCCGAACAGCACGACCCCTGCTCCACTTCACACAAGCAGCAGAAACAGTCCGGCAGAAAACCCCCTGCATCTCTGTCCCGGAGCGAGAGGGCAGTGCGTGGGCGCAGCCGCCCCCCCTCGACGGGCGCAGACCCAGGCAGGGCGTCGACTTCTCTTACCTGGCCGGCGGGACGTCAATACTGGAAGAAACAACTTTGCGCTTCTGCTCGAGCAGGCAGACGGAGCGCGTGCTTTCTTTGTCATGGTCAAGGGCTCGGTGGGGTGGTTTGGCATCTGCTGTTCTTCCGTCTTCCTCCATGGCCAAGGGGAACACGTGCTGGTGAGACATTCTTTTACTAGAGTCACGTTTTAAGTCTTCCGATTGAAAAGTGAAGGTCATGTCTCGCTTAATGCTCCCTGCCTGTAAAAAAGAAACAAAGAGAAAATGCCCTTATTCCGACGAAACAGACTTAGCACAATCATGTGTCATGGCTATGAGGAGAGAGAGTTGTCTGCCCTGTTCTTGAGGATTTCATCGTGTAGGGGGAAAGGGCAACACAAAGGAGAGCTGACGTCATCAAGTCCAACACAGTGGGTACAGCTGTCATCACGCAGTCTCCTGGCTGCCACCAGGGCGGTGGGTTGGTCAGTGCACAAAAACTGTTAAGACTGTAAAACAGAAACCCTCTAAATAAGGAAGTTAAAATGCTTCAACCTTCGTTTTCTCCTCCAGAACGGAGAAAACGCAAGAAAATGAACTTCACGTTCTCATGTCGATTATGTTTGAAGTATCTGTAACCGAGCCTTATCTTTGACTATTAATACTGATCACACCCACAACCTCTCTAGTTCAGAGCCTTGTTTTTTTTGTGCATTACCTCCCCCAGTTAAGACCTTACTATTCACCTTCCTACAGCCATATGATAAAGTGATGCTCTTTTTCATATCATTTTTAACGAAATAAATTGGTGATTAAAGCATAAGAAACACACAAAATTAAATCTCATTAAATTGAATCTTAATAAAATGAAATCCCATTACTTTGGAATTTGTGCTACCAAAGAGGAGGGTACAGCTAACGAAAAGTTTGGGGGAGGTAACTGGTATTGTAAATGAGAACGGTTTAAAGTTCTAAGAGTACAAAGAAGAATTATCCGTCTGTCTGGTAAGTCCCAGGGGCTATAGCAATGGACTCAAACACAGCAGTGAGTGTGCGCATGGCACGCACGACCAGGCAACGTTTTCTGCTGCTAGACTCAGAGGTGAGGCTGGCAATGAGCCGGACCGTACTAACAGCACCTAACAACAACATATGATAACTCACATTAAGCAGGGGCGGGTATCTCATGCACACACTTGTGAGACATTTGACAGGTATGTAAGATGATCACTCCCTGATGGGGAGTCAACGTGTCATTCACTCACTGCCACCCAGTCAACCCTGGCTCACAGTGACCCTCGAGGACTGGGTAGAATTGCCCTTGTGGTTTTCCAAATCTGTAACTCTTTATGAGAGCTGAAAGCCAGCTTCTTTCTCCCAAAGAGCAGCTGGGTAGTTTTGAACTGGTGACCTTTTGATAATAGTCCAACGTGCAACCCACTCCACACCACGGGCTCCTAGAAGTCGACCAGTAGAGTCAATAAACTCTTACTTACCTACATAAATAAAGAAATGCTTGTTTGGGATTTTAAGTAGGAGGGGAAAAAAAAATCACAAAGTACTTGAAACTTCTTCAGATGAGCAAATAGACTTAGATGTACAGCATCGAAAGCCACAACTGAAGACATTTTTTAATGAAATGAGAACATTTACGTCAGAGGAGAAATGAGCAGACTACAATATGAAGTACTAGAAATCTTAGCGTGGAATGCTGAGAAGTATGTGTATTGGACTCACAAGATCTGTCCATGCAGGAGAATTTCCAGCGTCTTAAAAGAGAGGGCCAACTCCTGACTTGGAATCCCTTAGGTTGGAGTGCATTTCTCCAAAAACGCATGGAACACTAGATCGAGCTCAGTGCTCTCCTGCGCCTATTCCTTCCAGAGAGAGGAAAAGGTCCTCTCTCCCATGGCCTTTCTGTCAGACCCATACCCTGGCTCCTCAGGAAAACCAGTGAGCCGCTGTTGGTTGACATGTAACACAGTAAAAGTCACCATATTCTTAGCATGCGTATATAAATCCAGGGCCCATGAAAAGTGAATGTCCGCCTGTAAGGGTTACATTTGAATGGCTTGAGGATACCATAGAAAGAAACAGGAAAATATTTCAAATTCCCGAAAACGCAAGACTTTGTCTATGAAAGCACACTTTGGAAAACTGACAGATGCAGTTATAAATATTTTAAGTATCTCTGACTAATCACTCTGCTACGCAACTGTGTCTCCTTGGACCTAAGGAGGTGAGTTGTCGCTGCTGTTAGGTTTTGAGTCAATTCCGACTCACGGTGACTCCGTATGTTCAGAGTAGAATGGTTGCATGGGGCTTTCAGGGGTGGCCCTTTCAGAAGCAGGTCACAGGCCTGCCTTCTAAAGGTGCTACCCAGAGACTCCCATGGGGGTGAGAAGGACGTGCTTTATACTTCTGTAACAGTCCCTTGTCAACCTGTGGCTATAACAGGAATCTATAAATAGTAGGCACAAAGGAAGTACCCTGAGGGTTGATTTTTAACACTAAGGCCTGATGATACGTAGTTCTTCTCTAATTGCCACACAATAGCCTTATTAAATACACAAGTGTTCATTAGTATTATGTAGAAAAATAACTGACATCCTTTCCTCCCTCGAGGCCAACTGGGTTGGTTAAATGAAATCCATCTAAAGTTTAATAGGAGAGAAGAATGTTTCAGGCAGTCTTTTAGCTGTAAACTTTAGGAGGGAAATGGCATCCAGAACAGTAGTAGTACAAAGTAGAATACATTTCCTAGTGAAATTATGCTATAATTGTATGCCGTGTTCTTTGCCAAAACTGTACAACAAACTAAATTATAATAATATGCAACAATGCAAGCTATAAATCCCCTATAATACATTTAAAGCATAAAATTAATCTCTCCATAGCAATCAGAAAATGTTAGCATTGTGTTGGCTTTCAGAGACCATGTAGTCTTGATTCCGTGTTTAAAAGTGGAATTAAGAAACTAGAAATGATGAAGAAAGCAGAAGCAATTGCAAAGGCTGGTACAGGTTTTAGATACTTGGACATAGGTTTGCAGTGCCAGTAGAAGGCATGGGTGACAGGTGCGGATATGAATATACTACTATCTTTAAAGATTGCACATATAAATAAGAGACCACGAGGAGGAACATGTATCAAGATTTCACACAGCAGTTCATAAAAACAGAAGAGATATCAGAGGAGAGGAGAAAGCTCACAGAGTCAACGCTTGCGAAGCTGTGCTTTACTATGACATAGGAGGGCAGGTTTGGGATGGGTGATAAAGGATTCTGAGCAACGTGGCCAAGAAGAGGAAAGAAACCAGGAAGTGTTAGATGGGGACAGAATCGGCATGCAGTTACTGCAAATGAGCACAAATCTGAACCTCTATTTAGATTGGCAGAGGAAAACCAAAACAGGAAGATAGCATCCCACAGATGAAGTCTCCAGAAACGAATAATCTCTACAGATAGAAACCAGATCAGTGGTTGCCCGGGACTGAAGCTGGGAAGAGGAATTGATTGTAAGAGGATACAAGGGAACCTTCTGGAATACTGGACTTGTTCTAAAACTTGATTGTGGGGGTATTTATACAACACTATAAATTTACTCAAAAAGAAATCACTGTTGCAATGGATGGATGTTACAACATGTAAATTATACCCCAATCAAGGTGTGTGTGCGTAAAAGTTTGAAGGGGGAAAGAAACAAATCAGAAGCAACTCATATGGAAGCCACATTCCCAAGAATCCTCAGAGCAGCAAGCGGGAAACTGCTACAAACAAGCAGCTCAAAGACTGCACCGTTGTTTCCTTGCTGCTTTTAGCACAGGCTGCTACAAGCAAGTATAGAGTTGGATCCAGCATGGCTCTGAGATGGGGTTAAACCCCCCACCCCCTGCTTGCTGGCCTCCTCGCACTGTGGAAGGAGGACATTTTTCTCATGGGTCCACTGGAATAGAAGTTTGGACTCTGGTTTGGTCTTTTTTTTTTTTCCCCTCCAGTTGCACAATACCCTGATGTGGAGAAAGGAAACTGCTGTGCTGGTGATCTGCACCGACTGGGCTGTTTCCTTCCTTGGAGATGGTATCAATTATGCAGAGCATAAATATGAGCTGATAGTCTTGTTCATGGAAAAATTGAAGCCATCTGAGAAATCACTTTAGGCTATAACTTTTAAAACAGGTAAAATGCTCAACAGCAGAAGACAACAAGCAAAGGGAGGAGGCGAGGAGAAAATCAGATTGGATGGAGAGAAACGAACACCAACAGGAGGATTGGAAAATGCAAAAGGCAAGAGAAGGCCTGAACAGAACTCACCAACAAGTCAATGAAAACAAACCCATTACCGCCGAGTCCATTTTGACCGACAGCCACGCTATAGGGCAGAATAGAACTCTCTCCGAGTGGCTAGAGGTTTTGAACTGCTGGTCTTGCAATTAGCAGCCCAGCTTGTAACCCACAAGACCACCAGAGCTCCTTGTAAGCAACAGGTAAAACTGTACAAATCCAGGGTCAATGAATGGGATTCTGTTAACGATGTGATAGCTACCCAGAGCCTGGCGGTTCTTCTTAAGTACAAGCAAGCGAATAGGGCAGAGGTAGGGACTGAGAAGTCCCCCCAAGAGATACTTAAGGGGCAGGTTGGGGCTGATGTGGTTGCCCACAAGTTAGTTATTGCTCATAGTCCCTGAACCCTGATCATTTCCAAAATCGACTAATTTCCTACCACCATCACGGTTGCACATGGATAAATGTTCCAGTAAGAAAAAAGAAAACTTGTTACCCCAAACAAACAAAACCACACTTCTATCAAGTCAACTGTCAGTCACAGCAACCCTATAGACAAGTGTAGAACTGCCCCTGTGGGTTTCCAAGACTGTCATTCTCAACGGCAGTAAAAACATCAATTTTCTCTCATAGATTGGCTGGTGGTTTCGAACTGCTGACCTTTCTGTTAGCAGCCCAACAAGTAACCCACTGTGACACCAGGGCTCCTAGTTGTTACCCTCAGTGGCCTTAAAAACATACACAGGAAACCTGAAGGATTTAGAGATTTCCCATAAGGTTGATTTTTGTTTTTGCCTCAATTTCTCTCGTACCAGAAGCTTTATAAAGCCATGGAAGATATTGCAAGGTAATAATTGACTAATTAATTTTTTAAAACTGATTTCTTTCACTACACCAGAATGGGCTCTTGAATAAAGATAATATGCATCTTGTGAGATCGGGCTCATTAACCTAAAAAGAAAAAAAAAAGGCTTTAAC